AACTGCACAGTGCTGCAGATCAGTGTTTTCAGGTGAGATTTCACAAGGAGCTTTACAAGCCTGGTAACTGCTGCTGAGCTGCTAAAAAAAGCCAGATTTAGAAGCAGAGACTTTCTTTTAAATGGCTTTAGTGCTACATGAGGAGCATTAGAACTGAATTGAATGTACAGAGCTAAGATGTTGGTAATCAATGCAGCCATGGGATCCTTTAAATCTGTAAAAATTGGGATGTGCTTTTCTGGGGCTTATGTAAAGGAAGCTTCTCATGCAGTCCATGCTGTAGAAAAATCTGCTCTTAAATGCAACTAGACCAATTTTTAGGTGCCTCCCACCCCAAACCATTCTATGATTCTAAATGTTGATGATGGGTCATTGGCCCAGGAATAACCTCTTTGAGGACCAACCCCACTTTCTACTGTTCCACTGAAAGTTTCAGTTTATCCTTTTTGTCTGAAAAAATAGCTTTTAAACTGCAGTGATCACAGTGTGGTCTACATATGGCATGTCAGAGGTAGGTGGCCAAACTGTAGTAGTGTTAAATTATTAACACCTAAAGCCAGAGTTTAATGCAGGATCATTTTTATTCTTAAAACCTCTACAGGCTTTTTGATCCATAAGGGTCAGAGAGGGGCCTGCAGTGTTTTTCAGCCCTTTTGATTAATGGCAATAACAAAATATCTGCCTCCCTGCTAGAAAAATCTTTAAAAATGCAATCAATACAAAATAACTCCAGCAGCAAAATTTTACACGTGTTACCAGATCTATTCAGCTGGAAGATTAATATTAAAAGAAAAGAAAAACTATATATTCTCATATCTCCTGACAGACATTGACAAGTCTTCTCCACAGCAGAGCAAATCTACACAAGTATTTCAGAGCAAGGCAGGAGGCAGGAGTGAGATTAGAAGTAAGAAGACTTTCTTAATCTGAATTAAATAAGAAGGGTTTGATCTAATGCTCTGTTCATAGCCAGATCCTGCCATGCTGGCCATCAACAACTGAACTACAATTTCCACAGTCTGGGTCTCTGCAGAATAATCTCCAAATCTAAGATCTCTGCATTGTAAAGCAACTACATTGCTGTAAAACCTTGCACTGCACAGACTTGACAAAGAGCCCTTCTTTTCTACTAAAAAATCTAAATTTGATTCCTGAAATAATAACTGTCTCTCTTTAAAAATCTAAATTAGTATTTTTTATTGATCAACACCTCCAAATCCAAAATACAGTTTGTAAATCTTAAAAGTTGTTTAAAGCAATTATATATAACCAAGAAAATTTTTGCTAATTATGTCATTAAGGACAAGAATTTGAAAGCTGCAGGAAGACAGGCTCAGAATTCCCACCATCCATCCTTTTCATAGAATCCTCTTTTCTGATAAATGAATGTTGCTGTACAGAATATATAAAATTTGTCCTGATGGTGGACATGAAGCTTTGTATTATACATTCCCAAATAGAGTGCAGTCTCTTTTTTAACATTTTCCTATTTGGGATCAAAATTCTCCTTTTAGCATGGGAGCCTGGGCTTTGATCTTGAAAAATTGGAAAACTTTCCCCATTGTATTCATCCCTCTCAAGCCCAATTTTATCCATTTGCTGATTTTAACATGTGTTCCTTTTCCCCACCATCTATCAGTGTGAGCAACCAGGCCTGGCTGCTCTCCAGCAGATATCTTAACACTGACTTTGAAATGGGATGTAGATTCTCTTACATTTCACTTTACCAGCAGCGATTTTTCCATAAATGCTGATTAGAAAGGGGGTCTGGAGATATCAGATGTTGGCCAGTACCAAAAGCTCTCTGACCACAAAGGTTTTTTGAGGTGAGAAACCACAAAATCACCTTTTAAGTGCCATTGTTTCAATGGAGTAAAAAATAAGCAGGAACAGAATTCAGGCAAAACAGCCAGGTCATCTTCTAGGAGAGCCCCAAGCTTGTCTCTAATCCTGTGAATATATCATTTTTTCTGGGCCAACATCAATAGAAGGAACTGATCTGCAGGAGATTAGAGCTCAGAGCTCACAAGGACATCCCCCTCTCAAATGCTACCGATATTATAGCTCACCTAGAATAAGTTGGCAGAGTCCTGAGCAAGACACAGAAAGAAAGCAGCTGTTGGGTAAGAGGGAGAAATAAAACCAGGAGAAATAAAGATTTTGCACCAAGGCTTTTTTCTCCCTGAAGTTTCATCCAGCTTCAAGGATGAAACTTGAAGTGGAAATGTGGTTGTTTGTTTTGCCTGAAGATGGTATAAGGTAGGATCTGTTCTTGAAGAGGAGCCTGATAGGCGACATTTTCAGAATGGAGTACAGATTCTGAGAAGGCCAGTAAAAAAGAGTGAAATGAGGAGTAAATAATCTAAAACTGCTGTGAAAGGTAATGGTCACAAGTAGAGAGAAACTATAATAAGAGGGAGAGGGAATGGGAAATATTTAATGAGCATCAGAATTTCCTATAGCTGTGAATAAATGGGCTGAAGAAGGAGGAAGGAGGAGTGATTTCATACATTAGAGAGGTTGACCTTTGAAGAAAGTTTTATTAAAATTCAGTATAATTTTTTACTTGAGTTCACCTTTGTGCTGGAAACCTGCCAGTTTAATGTCAGTTAGTTGTGCAGTATCTGTTAATAGATAAAATTATGAGATGAGGACTGTCCTAGCTGATAGCCATGGAACTTCTAAGTTAATCAGCTTCAAATTCTTTACTATGCTCATTCCAAACAATGATTCATAAACAGTTTTAAAGAGACAGAAAGCTGCTTTTTAAACTGTCAATACTTTCATGGGGATCAAAAATAAACACTGAAGATGAAGGGCCAGTCTTTTGCCCTTTCAGTCTTTGAATAGATGAAAGTAGCTTGAAAATGTCTCACTAGGAATTTGCTTAAGAATTTTGTGTACTTAGCATTTTCCAGGAAGGCAAGTAAATATTTGTTTTCCTGAAAAATGAATTCCAGGAAAGCCATTCAGTCTTATTCAAGAGAGATACTAAATGTGAAAAAAATATATAGTAAATGGGAAAAAATGTCAGTGCAAAGAAATAGCTTTCATTCAGTCCATTTAAACTGAAAGAAGGAGCAATAGAGGGGTGACTGTTTACCAAAACGGTGATGTTTTGATTATCATCAGCTTGGGTAAAAAACATCTCATCTGACAACTACCAGGGGTCTCTTTTTGAAAGAAATGGAAACTCAACTTTATTTATGCAAAGATCCAGCCAATACCACCTTTTCTGACTAATCACAATGTCCTCTAAAGCAAATCTGCACCATTGGGTCTCCCAGCAATGCTTTTTGTTTACTTAGGAAAGATCAGTGAGGCCTTCACTGTTGTTTAGTTTTTCAACAAAGTGATCTAGATGCACCTTGAATGAGAAGGGGAGGAAGGATATTTCCATGCACTGTCAATTTATTATCAAGATTGGAAGGTACTTCAGGTTTATGCAATAAAATTCAGAACAAAATATAATTTTAACATCCCCAGAAGATCTCCCTTGTTTCTTGCAGAAGAATTTAAACCAACCAAGAACAGTGCAGCTCAGTAAGAAGCCATCCATATTTTAAGCTTTTGGGCAATCCTTTTTCTCTGGAGCTTGTGGCTGTTGACTGGGTTTCTTATGCCTTTCCTCATGCTATTTCTATCAGTTACAGTGTTTTATTCTGAGCCCAGGACTTGGAGAGTTTAATTAGTGACTACCAGGTGACAGGCAGAATATCACCTTTAGGAAAGGCACTAGTTAGAAGTGTTGATACTGGGTCTGGAGGTAGTCTGGTTTCAGAAGTGCTGAGTTAACCTGCTGTGCTGTCATGCTATGACAGTGTGAGTGATGGTGACTTCAAAGTCAATAAGTTTAAGTATCTGTCTTGATAAATACAGTCTGAAAATAATCCCCATGAGAAGATCATGAAAACTATCTGTATTTTATAAAAAAAACAAACAAAAACCAACAAGGTTGTTTCTTTTCAGCTGAACAGGAACCCAGTACTTGTGCAGACATGAAGAGCTAGTTGAGTGGAAAGATATCAGGATGTGACAGTTGAAGTCTTTAAGGGTATTATCCACGGGGGAAAAAAAGTCAATGGCAATTTCTCTTTGAGCTTGCTGTGCTACAGATCTGGTCCTTACTCAGCTCCTGTTAAAGTCCATTAAGTCACAGAGACAGGAATAATGGAAGGGAATGAAGATTCAAGCTATGTGTTTGCTCCTGAGACATACATAGCAGATTTTACACAGTTTGTGTATCCTGTTCATGTAAAGAACATGGGCGACTCAGTCTGTCACCGGCACTGAAATGATCGTTCGGTTCAAATAGTAAGTCATTCATTTCCTCTCCAACTTCTGATTCCTAAAGGTGTAATTCCCAATTTAATATAATAAGTGCCTTAAAAGATTAAGCAAAAGGTCATGTTAGCATAATGTCTTTCCTGAACTGATATCAAAAGGCTGCATAAAGCCACACCTTGAAATCCCCCAGGACAGTGCTCATGGGACTTGCCAATAACACAATTTCACAGAGGTTCTTCTGTTTCACAGGTCACAGCTCTTTACCCTGTGATGGATAGACTGAGCTACCTCCGTGTACCTACATATACATGACCCACTTCATTAGAACAGAATGTTTTCTCTAGAATACACAGCCCAATAGGAGCCATTATCTCATGTGCTATTATTAATGCAAAGACTTCAGACAGCTCCTGCACACAGCAGTGAATCTGTGCAGTCTCAAGAGTAGCTGTAACTAAGATCTTCAGAAGCAGGGATAAAACAGCCATGTCACACAATTACATTGAGTTTGGCAATGGGAAGAAGAGATTTCTTCTTGATCCCCCATGATGTTTATCTTCTATGCTGGGAAATGAGCACTTGGAGTGACATACTTTTTATTGTAGCTAATGGAACTCAGATTTGTAAAGAAAGTGATTCTGCTGTGTGACCGTATTATCTAAATTGCTTTGTCGCCAACGCATAAAAAACTGAATATAAAATTGCCTGAGTATAATTGAGTGCTGACTCACCCCCCGATTAGGGTAAATGGTGCAGTGTTCCAGGGTGCCTTGGAGTGTTCCATAGTCTCACAATCCTATGTGAAATTCCCTGATTGATTTTTTCCTCCTCCAAGCAAACTTATGTTTCATGCTCCTATTTGAGGCTAGATGCTACAAATCCAGCTGCTGTCACAAGACATCTTCCCCCTGCTTCGTTATCTTGATCAATTTTCTGCTGAAACTCATCTTTCATCCTGGCTGGTGCAGTTGCCTCCCTTGAGATTATTCCAACTCCTGGCTCTCCATATTCATAGCCACTCTCTGAGCTCCAACTCCAACTCTCTAGTTTCTAAGGCTATATAGCTGAGGATGTTTTCTCACTAAAAGCTTTTCCATAAATTCTCACAATTTCATTTCAGTCTAATCCAAGGCTGCATATACACATGACACTTCTCAGAACAGATTTTATTAAAAGTACCTGCTTACATGAGCAAGAAAATACAGACCCAAGTATTTTTAATGGATTTTTTTAAAATCCTGAAAATAGTCTCATATTCATTTGGAGGTATAACAGTGTGATTATGCTTATATATAGAAGAATTCTCAGGTTTTGAAATTTAAGTATAAGAAGGGCAATTGTAAGAATCAATGCCAGAGACCCGAGGTGAACTGAGCCAAGCATGTTGAGCAGAGAGCTCAGATTTAGCTGACTGTGGCAGTAAGTTAAACCAGCACTTGTGCCTTGGGTGATCCCTGTTTCAGCTCTCCCTCAGGCAGTGAAAAGAAAGAGAAGAAGAAGGGCTATGACCTAAATGAATTACAGCAATTATTAACCAGCAATCCCACCTCTGAGGATTTGCAAAAGATCCCAGCCCTGAGCTGGGTGATCTGGGATTGAAACCAGTCATGGAAGTGGCAGAAATTGATTTTGTTTCCAATTATCTATGAACATCTCCTTTCTGGCTGGCTGAACTATTGAGCAACTGAGCAGCTGTTGAAAACCGAGTAAGGAAGAGGCTGGAATTTGTTTCCTTTATATGTGGGACTGGTTTCATATCAGAAAATAAAGAGTAACTTCAGCACATGCATTGGGCTTAGATTCTCCAGAAGCACTTGTTGCTGCACAGTCCAACCTTGTTCCTTGCCAGTAATTGTAACTTTTGTTGTCTGATAAATGCTTTGCCTCAAAGAGGATAGAACCCATTTATCTCCAGCTCCAGAGAGATAGTAATGTAATTGTTCCTTCACCAGGAGATCTGCTCCCTGAAAGTTCTCTTCTGAGTTGGATGATATTTTCTCCAAGAGCTTCCTTCTGTAGAATAAAAAAAAATCACTTGAAATGCATTTTCAGAGACAATCCCTTAAGAATAAAACTAATTGTAAAAAAACCATCTTAAATTGGTAAGGAGGAATAAATCTAAAATTCAGAGCTGATCTAAAGCTGGGTCGGAATCCAGCCAGAGTTAAGGGTCTAGTCTCTTCTTGCTGATCAGCACAAAGGCTGTACCTTTGCAAAATAAAGACACATTTAGAAGATGTAATGGAATAAAAAAAAGGAATCTCTAAAAGTGAAGAAAGCAACACATTCTAAGATTTTAAAAACTGTTGTCAGAACCCTTCAAAGATAGGGGTGAAATACATAAAAGCATCATGGCTTCCCCAGAAAGGTTAGTGTTGGTTGTTACTCTCAGCCCAGGCTGCATTTGACAGCTCTCACTTCTATTGCCAGAAGTGTGTTTTGAAAGGCCAGTATTCCTATCCAGATTGTTCTTTCTGAATGTTTGACAGCAGCCTGCCCAAGTGACGTCCAAATGGGCGTAATTAATTGTTAATGACCCCAGTTTGGCTGAATCAGGGAAGTGCCTAGATGACAGGGAAGAACATCACTGGGAAGACTCAAGGGAGGCACCAGGGGATTTGCCGAGGACAGCGATGGATTCAATGTCTGCAGTCACTCCAACATTTAACCTCCTCATCTATAACAACTGGTGGGTTACTCAGCTGCCATTTATTGCTACCCTGCCAGGAGGACTGCGGGCAGAGCAGGGAGCAGAGCACTCTTGGCAAGAAGTCCCAACTCATTCTGCAGCAAAGATAAGCCCTTGAATGGAAATTCTTCAAAGGGATGAGGCTGGGCAGACTGTTACTACCCATGGGCTTGGAGCAGGCAATCAGTCCTCCCTTTAATAAATAGAGATATGAGATGATCAGGGAAGAGCATGCTTCCTAAATGTGTTGGAAAAATGAGTCTGGGACGTCTATCATCTCTGATCTACAAAGTGATGGAGGTTCCTGAAGAAGCATCAACACCTGCACAGTCAAACAGGAGCAACTCTGCTGGTCCTGCCTGGCAGCTTGTGCTCTAAACTATAGCTAATGAGTGTGAAGGCCTTGACGAAAAAAGCTTCTACAGAATCCCTTTTCTAAGTCCTTTGATTTTACTGGAATATACACAGCAGTAAAATTCATATAGCCAATGGAAAGACATGTCCTGGCATGACCCTGCCACAGAAAACAATGAAACAAAAGGACAGCAATTTGGGGTCATGTTTGGGGAGGATGAGGATCCATGATTCAGCATGTCTGTTTACTAAATCTCCTCTAATTTGTCACGTAATGAAGGAGTGGGGCAAACACCTGCAGCTCTAGGCTGCTGCTTCATTATGAAAAGGTACGACCCAGGCAGCGATGAGCATCTGAGGAATAAATGAGTTTCAATTAGGACAGTAGGTCAAAAAGAGCAAGATGATTCATATCCAGGATGTATTCCAACCCTCCACAATAACACTCAGCATTCTGTTCAGCTTTGCTCCTTCAAAGTGCCGGCAAACACCCCATCCTTTCCATGGCACTGGCAGGTAACAGGCAGAGAGGCTTGGGTGTGTGCTGAGACCTGCTGATTCCTGGAATAATTGAACTAGGCTGGGAAAAAATGCCTTCCACAGCAACAGGAAGGAATGAGACAGCTCTGTCCTAGTCACAGCATGCCACTGTGTGTTCAGAAATCAGGGGATGTAAAGATTCACATCTGAGAATTAATAAATAAGCTACTCAGAATTAATAGCCTCTTTTAGGGAGTCATCTACATGAATTTTTCCCAGGAGTAAGGAACAGGTCATGACAGATGGAGTTTAGGAGTGTGTGGCTCCTAGGTTAGCGCCCTGACAATGCCTCTGCTCAGCTGTGAAAATCATATTTTACTTGCTTGACTGTGAGTTGCTGGGCAATGGGATGTAATTTTCCATGCTTGCTGTTGGCGCTGGGTTTTACCTTGACTTGCATCTGATAATGCAAGCTCTGTCAACATTGTTTTACCTATTGGAAAATAATAATTAAGAAGCCTGGATGATAGGCATGTGTTAGTACCCAAGAATGCATGGCTAGCTCCACTTTAACCTGGTCACCATAGTTTACTACTCTGCCACAAAATGTCTTTTCCAGGTTTACTTGAAGACTGGGATGTAAGAAAACCTTAGGGGTGCCAGACATTGTGTTGACTTTGATCTCTCTAAAAACAAATCCTTTAAAGTTTAGATCAAGGAATCTTTTAATGAAACAAAGAAATCGTGCCACTTATATCAGTTCCAGATATAAATAAGTCTGCTAGAAATAAACAGAAGCAAGGCAGAAAGGAGACAGCCATGCTCTGCAATGTCAGTCGAAAGTGACTGTCTGATGAATGATGATATGGCTGGCTGGGAAAAAAGTCAGTCTAAAATCTTGCTGCGAGCCATCTGGCAAATCTTCCAAAGGATATTGCTATACAATGGCACTGAATTCGTACCTGCTTTGCATCTCCTGCTCTCAAGAAAGGCTATTTGCTCCTTTAACGAAGTGAAGATTTTGAAATCTCTACTATGACTCTCATCTGAGGGACTCATTGTAAGCCTCCCCACTGATGGTTGTCTGTTCCCTCCCCCCACCAGTCTGCCATGGATGCAGAATCTTATCCCAGGATCCTTTAGAATGGAAAAGATCTGTAAGATCAAGTCGAGCTGTAACCCAGCACTGCCAAGGCCTCCACTAAACCATGTCCCCAAGTGCCACACCTGCAAGTCTTTTAGATACCTCCAGGAGTGGTGACTCCACCACTGCCCTGGGCAGCCTGTTCCAATTCTTGGCAGCCCTTTAGGCGAAGAAATTTTTCCTAATATCATCACAGGATCATGGAATGCTTGAGGTTGGCTTACCCAGAGCATGTTGCACAAAGTAAATGTTACAGTATGTTTTTATTTTGCAGGTTTGTTGTTTGATTTGTGCTTTGGTAGTCCTTTTGGGGTTTTTTCCTCCCCCTGTTGTAGAGGGACACAGACCTGCCTTTGTTATTCAATTGAAGTCGGGTGTCTTATCTGTTGTTACTTAACTACTTCCCTGCCAAGTTTCAAACCCCTTCCCCCCCACATCCAGTTGTTAACCCCTCCTATCCCAAGCAGTTTTCCTCCCTTGTGTTCCCTGCCTTGTGTTCCACCCCCAGTTCTCCTGATTAGCTGAACACTGTATCCTCCCTTGAGACCTGCTCCCCTTTATAAGCTGTTGTTTGCCCCCAGTCCGTTGTCTGGGGCCCCGGGACTCAGGGAGTTTACCATCAAATAAAGTAATCCAGTGCCCTCCAGGCCCATGTTGTGGCCCCTTTTGTTCCGCCCTGTGCCTCCACTGGTAGCTGGGATTCTGCAGAGCCCAAGAGAGGGGGACTGTCACCCCCCCACTGTCACCATCTAGCTGGGAAGTGCGACAGTAAAGATGATTTGTTAAAATATCTTTCCACAGTAAAGGTGCTCTTGGACATGTAGTGCATCACTAAGACACAGTGCGCACCTGACTCCATCCAGGCACTTCCAGCTCAGGATTCTCTTCCCTTGTTCCGCAGGGCAGGCAAAAGTTGACAGCACTAGAATTTGTAGCACATCCATCCTCTTGCTCCAGAATCATCATTACTTCATGCTTGGAACTGAGGAGCCACATTTCATACTTCTGAACAGTGTAAGGCTTATTTTCATAACTGAGTCATTTGGACTCTGTACCCCAGAAGGCAACAGTAAATATCACCACTGGCCATTTCCTAATGAACATAAAGCGGTAACAATTTAATGTCACTTCAGAAAACCTAAAAAACTTGCCATAAAAACAAAGATATCCCTAAAGGACAGGCTGTCTGTATTAATGATATTTTTCTCCTGCTTCTTCAGCTCCTCTCATGTGATGCATAATCAGCTGTAACTGAGTTCACAACCCTCCTGAGTTGTGACGAACTGCAATGGCTTGAGACCATGGAACTGGGAGTACCTGACATGGATAACCCTGACTGAGGGGCAGCTGAATATCTGATGACCAGACACTTCTGGGTTTTAACATGGGCCCAGTAAAAGCTATTTTCAGCCTAAATGATCTTTGATACTGAAACTAGAGTTAACCTGGCTGGTGAGCAGAGGAGATCATCTGTTCTGAGAAATAAACCAAGGGAGAAGGAGGTGGGAGAAGAGTAGGAAGATAACAAAGGAGAGGGACTCTTTAGGGAGAGGAATAAATTTGGAAACATGCAGTGATGGAAAAAGGAACAGAAGAAAAACTGCTGTTGCATCTCCCTATCACTCCCTCTCAGGTCCTTGTCCCTGCTCAACTGCCAGCCACGTTTGTCATTTGTAATTCTCAGCCTTCTTAAATAGATGGAACTAAGAAGCAAAAACTGACTCAAAGCAACTCCCCTCACTTTTGCTATTGCCAATTTTAGTAATTTTTTGTCAGTTTGGTTTGGTTGTTAATAAGGACTTCATTCTAATTTCACCATGTGCAGCAGTAACTTGTTAACAAGCTGCTCCAAGAGATCTTTGTAGGACAGTGGAAACCAGGGAGAGGGAATAATAACAGCATTTCCACCTATGACAGTCTGCTTCAGGGCAGGTGTAAATAGATCCGTAAGTGTTTGTTCACTTAGAAGTTCAGCCCAACTGCTTTCTCAATTTCCAGCAGCAGAATTAATAGATAGGGGTTTTTCCTTAAAAAATGAGGGCAAAAATTATCTACTAAATATCACCCTCCCTTCCCACTAGACTGCAAGTAGTATTAAAAAAGTTTCAGAATTTTTACCAAAACCAGATGTTGGGTGTATAAAAGTACAGGCAGTTTTTCAAAGCATTCTATTTGTTTGGAAAGGGAAGGACAATTAGATCCGAAACTCAATTCAGCTTCAGAACAGAGGAATTTAATGGGGAAATAAAGAAGGAAATTACATTTCTTTCACTTGGTGCATCCAAAAAGTTCTGGACTGGTGCATGCAAAGAGTAACTCTCTTTGGAGCAGCAACACAAGCTTTGAGAAAGCAGTTGCTAAAGTGTCTGAAAGCATCCTGTTTCTTGTCCTCTGCTCTCTGAAGAGCAGAAGGAGCACAACACAATGCCCAGATGGGGTGGAACAGGGGTCCCCAGATTATGGGGACATTGATCTGTGAGCTGGGCAGTGGGACAGTTGCATCCAGTTTGAGCATCCCAGCAATAACCTACCTGACTCAAAGAAGGATTGGAAACCTCTCCTCAGGGCTCAGCACACCTTGATGCGGGAGGAAGAAGAGCCCAGTGTGGGTGGCCTGGACCTCTCTCTGGGAGCAACACTCCCACGGTTTCATCTACTTCTGGCTGGAACCTAAAGCCCTGCCAACATCCATTTTTCCCCGCACCAAGTCGTTTAAAGAAACGTCCCTAGTGTGGACTCAAATAAATGCAATGAACATTTGTGTGGCTCCTTGGGAGCTCAGCTAATGGACTGCTTGGAAGGACTTGCTGGGCCAATGTGCTACCTCTGGCTTCCCATACTGAAACCTCACCTTGCACTCCGTGACAGTGCAATACCCTCCCTCTGCCTATTGTTCAAGCTGCAGGTACCACATTTAACCAAACAATAGCTAAAAAACAAAAGACATTTTAAGTGACTTGTGGTGTCTGCTGAGCACCAGCTGCCCTTTTTGTGTTCTACTGTGTCTTCAATCCTGATGCTCCATGCTCAGGTCTCCTGGGTTCCATTCAGCTGCAAAAGCCCAAAGCCACGGTGAGAGGAACGATCTAATCTGCTAGGAAAATAAAACAGTTGATGACTCATAAAAGCAAAAGGGACAGATATTTGAAAAGGAAAATAGTAGAACAGATTCAGATATAATTGTGAGTCCTATCACAGGAGTGCATGGAGAAGTAGCGAGTTCTGCCACGTTCTTCCACTTGAGCCCTCAGCCAGCTTCAATAGAGCCAGGACTCAAACCTGTGGTTCCAGGTAGCCTTAATAAAGCCTGGATCTGAATTAAACTACTCTTCTGCATGCCTGGGGTTTTGGTGGCATGTGGCAGCCTTGGCTGCTTCAGGCTGCCCTGGAGCATGTGAAGGAACGTGTTGGTGAGTGACAGCCCAAAGCAGTGGGACAGACCTGCGTGCAGCCACAGGAGCTGGGGCTCTGCTGGAGTCTGAGACAGCCTGAGGGAGAAGGAGCTGTTCACAGGTTTCCCATGGGGAGCTAATGCCAAAATAAACTCTTTTGAAGGCAGCAACAACAGCACAAGACCCTGGGCAGCACAGGGATGCATGTGTGGCTCTAGGAGAGGAGGATGGGAGGCTGAGCCCACTCACCTGAACACCCACCTTCCCCCCTGGAGGGGCAGCAGATGTTGTCAGTGGCTGCTCTTCAGGGGAAGAAGGACCCCAGACCAGCTCAGACACCTCTGTGATGCAGAGGGGTGGGGACAAATGGGATCCCCTCATAGCCCAGCTGTAGCACTTCGGGCTGTCTCCTCTGTGCTCCCTTCTCTCTCCCCAAGGCAGCATAATGAGGCCATTGGAAATCTGAAGAAGAGAGATTTCCTTTACTCAAGTATTCCTATTCAAAGCTACAGCTATTGACATATTTTTTCTATTCCTATGCTTGGCAGAAGTTGATCGTATTTATTAAGCTGATCTTAGGCACCAGATCTGGATACAGACTCTTGATACATAGGCAATCATCAGAGCCTGTTGTGTTTGCATGAATGTACTAATCCTGCCTCTGCTTCCTGAACGCATAAAGCAATGTATAGGACCACTCATCTCTGAGAGACTTGGAGATGGCTGCAGAGGGCAAGACAATGTTTTTAATATGGAGAACTCCAAGGCAAAGTATCTTGGTACCTCAGAATTATTAACATTTTTGAAAGTCTGAGAAGCCACTAACATTTATAAGACATTACAATCAAGATTCATTCTCCCAAATGGAGAAAGAGCTCCTATTTTTCATATACACACTAGATATTGATAATTTTCTCATTTTCTGATATGACAGGGCTTGGGGATTTCTTCCCCACTGAGACAAGATGACTGACAGATGGAGATAAGAATTTCTCATAAAGAGAAGCAATGCATTTTTACACAGCTGAGGCTGGAAGAAAGTAATAATTCTCCTAATATATAGGCACAGCCCTCCAGAATGGCTGATTATTTACTTCAAGAATTAGTCATCGCTGACCAGAATGCCAGGCATGTCTTCCCAAGCCAAGATGTGAGCTGAGATCAGTTCAAACAAACGCTCACCCCTTTGCCCACATGCTAGCCTGGGATACCCTGACTGTACTGGGTCAGACCAGCAGAGATTCACCAACACTGCTGTCATGGTGAGTCCAAGCCACTGTCACAGAGGTGGCACTTGGCACAGGCTTAGTTCAGTTCTAGGGTCATTCTCAGCAAGCACTGGGGCGCTTGGAGAGCCCAGACAACTTGGGGCAGGCGTTAGAGCTGCCACTGCAGAACCCATCTGGAATCTGCCTTTAAAAAAAAGACCATAAAAACCACCAAAACCTCCTCAAAACAACAACAATAATAAAAAGAAAAATCAAATCAAGCAAACAAACAAACAAAACTCCCACCAAAGCCCCCAAAAGAAAGCCAGAGGAACTGCCTCCAACTCTTGGGCCAGGATAAAAGCCTTGGAGCAGCAGGAGAGCAGGAGTGCCCGTTCTCAGTGTCAGCACCACTTCTGTCCCCCTAGAGCAGCTGAGCAGCTTTGCTTCCTGCAGGGATCCTCTGGAACTGTCTGGTTTTTGCCATGCTAGACCACTTCTTGCAGGGTTGTAGCGGTTGTCCTGGTACACACAAGCCAAAATTTACACCCCTTTACCTGCTTTTCTCTCAACCTCCTCTTTCAGCTGTTCTCCCCTCTCACTATCTGCATATTCTGTTCTTCACTACTGTTCCTAACAGCTTCTATCTATGCCAAGTCCCATCCTACTCAGCTCTCATTAAACCTCCAACCTTGGGCAGAGCTTTTCTGCATTGGTCTCCCAGACAGCTTTTGTCTCTTTGACTTCTAGGTTCTCTTTGTTTGTGCTTTTCTCTCTGGATCTGGGAATTATTCTGCTTCAGTTGATGCATGGATCCAGGCCCTGATATTTTGTTGAACTCTATGAGATCTCTTCTGTTTGGTGAGTGCAGACGTGGGTACAACTGCTTCCAGCATCCGCAGCACCCTTAGTGTTGCAAAGGCCTTGAGAGGCTGATGTGTATTTCAAACAGTAGGAAGCTTATCCTGTGCTAGACATTGGCTTGAGAGAGACATTGTCCCTGGAAGATAACAGCTCCGGAGAGACATTTTCCATGGCATCCCTGCTCAGGAATAGATCCTGACTTCATCTAACAGAGGAACTGATTGTACAGGACTGTGCTGCTCACTGGAGGATGGCACAGCCAGAGCGAGTGGCACTGGGTTGCCACTGCATGCTTTGTTCTTCTGATGCCTCAGATCAGTATCTCAGTACAGAGCTTCGGGTCTGAGCAGCCCCTGCCGGTAGCAAGTGCTCCCCCTGCAGCACGACAGGTCTCGAAATATACGTGCCAAGTGGATCTTTTATTTGGAAAACAAATGGTATTGACTATCTATAAACCTCGGCTTAGAGCGAGGCAAAACTAGCAGAAAAAAATGCCACCATGGGTGAGTGAAGGTGCTTAATGAGGAGTAGGGCAGCCCTGAATTATAGGGCAGCAGTGAGCAAGTGACTTAGCCTTTTCTTTTTTGCCTCCTACTGATTTAGTCTGGAAACATTTCAGCAGGCATTGTCCTGTTGTATGGTGATAAAAGCCTGGACTCAATAACTGAGATCTGCTGTCTGCCATCACAGTAATACAAATAACAATAAAAGAAACAAAATAGAGGTGAGTCAGGCTGATTTTCACTAGGAAAAACATCAGTTATCTTTATTACTCACCAGCTCTCATCCAGGGTAGTCTGCTGGCCACCATTGAGGCTGCAGTTGTAGGAGGGCTGTATTTTGTTCAGGTCCTCCTAAAAAAGGTTCTCCCTGGGGCTTTGGAGAGTTGGTGGTTGCATATCCACATCAAGAGGACCATGAGTATAAGCAGCCTTTTTGCAGAGCAAAAGCCTTTTAGCAGCTGAGCCCAGTGGAGACACAAGGCTGAAGAAACAACACAGCATGGAGGGGCCACAGCCCATGGTGGGACAGACAATCCTTGAGGACCAGGTCTTCATCTGGGAGGGAAAAGCAGAGGAGGGAGGCTGGAGGTGGGCCACCCTGGCCCTGAGGCTGGCTGAGGTCACCCATAGGCTCCTGAGCCGTGGCTTTGTCATGCCCCACAGAGCATAATGGCAACAGCTCTGATGCATCCAAAACACAGACAAGCGGCCAATTCCAGCTGGAAGCTGATTCGTGCTATTGAGATTTGTGTTTATTAATTTGTAGCCCACTTGCTTTCTTTTGGCACCATTTTTCTCTGCAAGTGAAAAATTTCCCCTGAATCACTCCATGTTATTTCCACTTGTCAAGATAAAGGTTAATGAAATACCAGTAACTGCAACACAAATCCAGCTCCATATCTATCCAGGATTTTATATGGCAAGTTGTACTGCACAGTCTGTTCTTAGAAAAGGCTGTGATTAAAAAAACTAAAATTGTCAGAGGTCAAGAAATTCATAGTTAGAGCAGTATAGCCTCTGCCCTTCACTCCTCATATCTCGCCTGAAGGACAAGGAATAAAAAACCTCCTGGAACTGGCACAAGCAAATGTGGGATGAGATTTCCTCAAAAACACACAACATTCTGCAGGACTGTGGTATTTAAACAGCATTTTCATTTGCAAATGTTGCCTGCATCTGGATAGTGGTTACTTGGATATTTATACACTACGTAAATAATATATAAATACATAAATACCATAGAATCATAGAGTATCTTGAGTTGGAAAAGACCATCGAGTCCTATAAATATATATAAAATTTAGAAGCAACATGATGCTATAATTGACATATATCTGTCTTCAAAGAGATTTGCATCAGAGTCAGAAGAATTTGACATACTTGCTGCAAAGAGGTTTTCATGCTTTGAACATGAAACCACCAGGACTGGCTGAAGGACACTGTGCCCATGGACTGGGGAGCTGAGACCAATTTTAATGCTGCAAACAACTTTTCAAGATCCACTGGCACAGCCTCACTCCCCCAGTTAAACACTTGAAAACACAGAAGATGCCCCTGCCCAGAGCCGTTGGAGCATGTGAGGTTTCAGGAAGGAAGGGAGGAGCTGCTTTGTTTTCTTCCTAGGCAAGGCCAGCAATGGGATGAGTGTCAGGAACTGCCATTTGGGGTGAGTCAGGAGATTGGCATGGGGTGGTTTGCATTAATACCAGCTTGAACACATGCCAGAGAGGATTTCCAAAATTCACAGCCAGTTATTTCTTTTCACAGACTTAAGAGATCCTATAGCCTGTTCTTCCACTCTGAGGCATGCGATCAAAAGCCTGTGGAAATTATTCTGAAAAGGTTTGTTTGTTCTGTAAATATGTATTTAAAATCTTGCATACAGATTACTAAGCTTGATGATAATAAAAGCCAAAACAAAAAATTCTGACAGAGAAACTCTCTCACAGAGTATCTGATCCCTTCTTGGAGGTGGATTAAAAAGTATTGTTATGAAATCACAGTGCAGATTTTATTATGGGCTAAATCAAAATGCTTTGGAGTTTTTGGAATTCAGACCTGAAGTTGAGTGTTTCAGCCCTATGATCCATATAAAAGACAAATGAATGAATGTACTTTTCCTTCCTTTTGATATGCAAAGATTCAGATGAAATGCTTACTCTCCAGTTTGTTTTTTTCAGTAGAAATTGACTGGAGATCCTATCAACATGAAATACCCTGTGAAACCCGAGAAGCTCCTGAAATGATGGATGACATCAAGAGCCAAAAGAACAAAACGTCTGCAGAAGAGATCCTTAATCACTTTGTGAAGACTGTTGATCTGTTGCCAACTTCTTAACTTAAAGCTTGTGTTGTCATATATCTGACTTTAAAGTTTAATGAACTAGTTGGTGAAAGAAAATCTCTGTTAAAAAATTCAGTCCTGTCCCTTCAGCTGCGGTGTGAGCAATAGCACACTTCGTTGGATGCTCTCAGCAAGTCCCTCATTAAAACAGTAGCACCAAATGAGATCTAATTTTCCTAATATTTGTAGACTACAATGCATGAAGGACAATATTTGAGATTTTCTGTAGTCCTGAAGAATAAGTTAAAAGAACAACAACAACAAAACTGTGAAAGCTTCTCCCCAGGTTGTATGCTACACCTCTTTAATTTACAAGTATTTTACTACTGAAATTGAGTATCAATGTTATTTAAATTTTTTAAAAATTGCCCACTAGGTGGCTGTAATTGTTATGGCCATGCTTAATTTTTGGTATCAAATTCCCAGATTTAAAAAAATCAGTTCTTCCTTTTTGTTGATCTTCAGCACATGCTCTCAATCTCCAAGGCTGTCTTTGTAACAATAGGATCCTCACCTTGGAAATTTCAGCAGTTTATAGGAAATTCAGTTGTTCAAAATGGCTGCTGCAATGGGCTTGCATAACATATAAGGCACAGAAATCCACTGCCATTTGAAGGATAAAGTGGGAATTCATTTTTCATTATTGAAAGAAACACTTTTTTTCTGCTATTACAAGGAATGATCAAAGACTCGGAGCGCTTTGGAAAGAGTTTCCAATAGTGTGGCATTTAATGCAAGCAGCTTGTGATTACTGCTGGAGCACAAAAACGTTGTAAATCTGATGAAGGAGAGCCCAGAAGGCAGGATTGAGCATCTCCTGTGTCCTAGATTCAGCAGAGGAGCTGATGTGAAAAAGAAGTGGGATCTGCTGGAAGGAAAGCTCAAGTGATGTATCACAGGAAATAAAATTTCCCTGCTGTTGGCATGGGCTGTAGCCCAGGAACAGCAGTGCATCTGGGTAGAGGATTTGCAAAGAGTTTGCTGGCTGTGGTTCCTCCTGCAGTTTTCCTGAAGATCCACCCGAAGGGAATAGGCTCAGGTGCAGAGGGAGACTTCCCCCATTCAGCCAGTGAGCAGGGCACTGATGCTTCCTCTGAACAGAAATGCCTGAAAATAAACATCTACATATCTTTGGCAGCTCTTGACTGCAACATATGAAAAGGGAACTGCCTGTCTACAAGTTTTAAGCAGCATGCAAAGACATTTGTAGGAATTCTCCAGGAAGGATGAGCCAGTACGGAATCACTGAGGCATTGCTGCAGACCCTTGGGCATGGTGCATGGTCCTGCCAGCAGCACATAAATCTGCCTTTAATGGGAATGAATTCATTTCCATTGAGGAATTTGCCCACCAGTTTAGCACTGCACCAAAGGGGTTATCAGGGGCCATCAGGTTTCACAAGACTTAGTGCCACTTCATTAGGTGTCTTTGAAAGATAGTTTGTACATCTGGAGTAAGAACAGTTCGGCTGGGGCAGTGCCTGTGGCTCACCTAAAAAAACCCCTCAGCACAGCACTGAGCTCTGTGTATCAGGGGAGGGAAGGGGAGGGGAGGGAGCACCTCTGGCAAAGGAAGTGCTGTGATAAGATTTGTTTTAGAGAAATTCAGGACTGCTGTAGTGAACTGGTTTAATACCAGTCAAGTAGATAATTTCAGTTATTGCTCGCTCTTCCAAAAATGCCATGCTGAGGTGCTCAGAGGGCCCAGCTGCAGTCAGACCAGAGCATCCCCCTACTCCACCTGGATTTCTTCCTAATTCAGTAGAACTGAGCACTCTTTTTGTGTAGGCACAAGTAGAATCATGCCAGCACGTGAGTCCCATGCGCTGTGGGTTTGTCAGCCAGAGGTTGGGCACAGTCCCTACCCCTCCGGATCAGCTCCAGGCGTTGTGCCAGACCTACCTTGACTCAGCTGTCTTATCATGGTGGGTGTGGGGTCTGGTTTGCCTTCAATCTTTTCCTGGCGCATGCAGATTCAGGTTACCTGGATATATAAATCAAGTTCATTGTCATGCTAGCTGAACACCTTATAAAGGTATGTTAATCAAGAAAGAATAATGAGATTTCAAATTCCCCTAAGCTGTAGATAAGGACAAAATGCTCAAGCAAAATATCCCTCATTCTAAATGGTTCTTTACTTCTAAGTCTTCTCCATCTACAAAACAGGGTTAAGTCAACACTGAGACAAAGCGAGGAAAAAAGTTGAGTACTCCTCAGGAAGAGGAACCTCTGTTTTACACTCTCATCCTATTCCCTTCAAAGACATTCATATCATCATCCTGTGGAACAATCTAAATAAGTCCCTGGAACTCAAGACATTTGTTTGAGATTCTCTGACTTGCTGATTTTTCTGTCTTTCTTTGTCTACAGTGAATCTTGCTGAACAGGTTGAACCAAAATTATCTTCTTGCAAACATTCTGCAAGTAGATCAATGCCATATTCTGTATCAAACATCCTGCCTAGAGCCCATTTAATAAATGGGATATCTTTGCTATGAAATTACAAACCAGAACTTCATGTGGCATCATACCCATATAGATCTGAAATAATTTCACTCTCAGCAGAGTTTTCAGCATTGCAATAAGAGCAGTATAAATAGCCACAGTCTCTGAGCATTGCAAAGAACAGGGATTAAAGTCAGCAGCCACACTGCAGTCTTTGGCCTTTGAAGACTGTCTGGAGCAGAGTACAGAAGGTGCAGGGTACCTGGGGGTCCCATTCAACTGTAATGGGGTTGTAGATGCCTTGTATTTCTTGATAATCACTCTGGAGGGATATGAACAAGAAACAGACGTGTAGAAACCTGCAAGATACTTTTGAATAACAGAAGCTCTCTTGCAGAGAGGACAAGGCTGGTTCAAGACCACAGCACCTGCTCCTGCATGGAGCAAAGTTCCCTCCTTGCTCCATGTTGTCCCAGTGGAGCACAGCTCACCTGCTCAAAGGAAACTTCACACCACAGGGGTTTGCTGGGGAAACAACGAGTCACCCCTGAGATATCAGCACTGGAGAGAAATAGAGGAAGAGATGCAGTGAATGCTCCTCACCTCATGTGACTCACCCCAAAAAGGTGTTTGGGTATTTGGTATTTTTAAAGCTGACAGAGAGAGCAGGCTAAATTATGTACAAAGAAGAAATTCTTCCCAGTGAGGTTTGTGATGTCCTGGCATGGATTGCCCAGAGAAGCTGTGGCTGCCCCATCCCTGGAAGTATCCCAGGTCAGCTTGGATGGGGCTTGGAGCAACATGATCTGATGGAAGGTGCCCGTACCCATGGCAGGGGGTTGGAACTGAATGAGTGTTAAGGTCCCTCCCAGCCCAAGCCATTTTATGAGTCTGTTTGGAAGAGTGACACATGTAAGATGCTGAAATACATTCAGGTACCCCAGAGAGTCATCTGAATTGTGCTAGAGATATACAGCTCAGTCAGAGCCAGAGTAAACCATGAAGGCTGAGAGCGACCCTGTTGGGTCAGATGGCTGCTCACTTTCTCAGGCTGAGTTGTGCTCACTCCAGAGCCAGAACTCCCATGGCCAGGGGAAGGCTCTGAACAACAAACCTGGCATCAGATGGGCCGTGGGGTGGGTCACACTCTTTCTGAGAAGGGACTGTCACCTTCATTGGTCTTATCTGAAAAGAAGCATTTTGTGAGCCTGAACAAAAACGCTGGGGAGCGCTCAGCAGCGAATTCTTTCACATGCTGCCTTTTTGTTTTGTATGATTTCCAACGTTTCTGGCAAAAACATTTCCTCTGACTGTTTTCCTTCTAGAAACAGCCTTCTTCCAGACAGGGCTTCTCTGCCACTATTTAGCTGGGTAGACACAGGGCTATTTAAAACACAGAGCTGGAACATCAGCAAAGCACTTGTCTCATTCCAGGACAAGCAGGGAAGGGGAGGGTGTGCATCGCTGAGTGCAACCTTGTTCGTCCCTGGGAGGTTTGTGCCTGCATCATGCCAATTTGTGTTGAATTTAAGGCTTCTGGGGATGAAGCCTGATGAGATTTTTTAGAAGGCACAAGTTCACAGCCTTGAGTATGATTTTTGGCTGCCAAGTCTCACATACATTGCAGTCAGATGTTTAATTATTTACCAGGCTCTGTACAGTACGGTTCAAGCAGCAACCATCAAATCTGACATTTTGATAATGCTAGGGTAATTGGTTAATTTTTTTTTTCTTTCCCTCCCACCAGCTCCAACCCTCTATTCTGCTGGGAGATGCAGAGTCATAGCTCTGCTGGCTTGGCTTCCTGCCATCTCACTGCTCCTTTAAAACCCCATACCTCTCATTGAAGGAACTCAGTGTCCTGTTCACCAGGAGGACGTCAATGTTTCTATGGAAACTCTTCCCAAAGATTCTTGCTCTGCACTGCCACTGCTGCGTATTGTATGACTGGCTTTGTACGCTGCAGTTCATTATCCAGGCTGTGACGAAAAGGGAGCAGCTTTCTGCCCAACAGGAAAAAGCATTAAAGGAAAAAAAAAGACCCAAAACACTAACCCCCCCTGCTCCACCACCTTAATATTAATCAAATAAGCCACTAAAACCAAAGGTGCTTAAATCGTTTGGCATTTGAGTTATGATTAGAATCTGCTTGCCTATGCTCCTTGCAGTGAAAAATACCCTTTCCTGAATAATTAACTTAGCTGAAGAAGCTTATAAATTCTTCGCGAGGTCCTTTTTCCTTCTGAGTAGTGAGAAGAAAATTTTCCACCCCTCACAATTGCAATCCTGATGATGGATGAGTGTCACATAGGTAACCAATGTGCCTGAGCAGGAACCCTCTGCATGAACTGTGTGGAGAACAGGGGAGGCTCAAACTCGGGTTCAGATTTTGCATTTTAATTAATATCTGCAAAGGGGATGCAGAATTAATAGGCTGAAGGAAAATTCACATTAATTTCTCATTTGCCTCAATAATAGGAAATATCTGGGACCAGAAGAGAACATGATGACAAGTGACATGTTTATGGACATGTCCCTTACTAATGATGTCCAAAGGTGGCCCAATTACTCACCCCTCTGCAGATGAGCTCCAGGTGTTACACACTTGACAGGTAGAATGGTCTAGATTTTGTTCCCACCTCTATCACAGATTTGCTGTTATTTTGTATTCAGACATCAATGTTAACTTTGAAAATCTGAATTTCTAGGTGGTGCACTGAAGAAGCTTGGAACCTGATTTTCTTGACTTCCACTGGATCACTGATGGGCTCTCGGCACCTCAAGCAATCAGATTTCTGGTGTCCCAAAGCATGTACCTCAAACCCAAGGTACTCAACTTGTGACACTTGGAGAAAGATAACTCCTAAACCCAGCAGAACTTTGAGATCTGAAGAAAAACATTACTCATCTGCTATGCTGGGAACCAGCACTGAGTAAAAACCTGAGTAAAGATGAGGATGAGAGGAGACAAGTATTTTATTTTTAAACCTTATGAATTTCTGAGTAGTTCTGCTTTCCTAGAGAGGAAGGCAGGGTTGGGAAGATCAGATTTTCAAACTCTACTCCCTCCCTGATAGCACACTAAAGACTTGTATTACCTTTAATTGATGTTTCTGAGTGCATCCTCATTGATTTACTCCAGCCGTGCTCTTTATGCAGGGAACATTCTATTCTCAGAGCATAATCTAGACCCATACGAACAATATAGATGTTTCCTGATAACATAATTTAGAAAGAGGAGATGTAATTGCTGCCTGTGCTGAATGCACAGCATCTCTCTGCTTGCCAGAGCACTGCAAACTCATGAGCCCTTTTGGAATCCATACAGGGAGAAAAGTCCCAAATCCTTCAATGTGGTTCTCATTTTGTCATTTCCATCTTATTAAATATGCTGCTCCTTGTGCCTTTGATTTTAACTTCCTAAGGATAGCTCATGCTGAAATTATTTAGAAGGCTCTCAGAGGCTTTTAGATTAAATTCAGGGATCATTCCTACAGAAATGTGTCTGTTTGTGGGACACAGGACAGCAGCAACTTGGGCATCTGCTGCGGAAAAATGGGGAAGGGACCCAGCAAGTTCCTCCTCAGGTAACTTGTTCTTTTAAGAAGTGCAACAAAGCAGGTTCTTGTTAAGGACTTCTCTTAAATACTTGAAGCAGAGGTTGGAACTCATCTAACCTGCTCCAAAACCAGTTGGCTTGGCTGTGCAGTCCAATTGCTGTGATTTAAAATGAGTGGTTGCAGTGCTTTTGTCTTCTAAATCATCCCAAAAGCACTGTGCTTTACTGTCTTCTCTCTGATGGAAGGATATCCAGGGTGAGACATTACAATTCAAATTTTCATCTCTAGGGTCAAATCTGTCTCAGTGCTGTAACACCTGGAAAGCACTGCCATGCAGTGGGGTTTGATGTGAAATAAGCGCAGGTCCCTCCACAGCACAGTCAATCAAGATCCACAGCACAGAAAAATCACCACTGTAATTGCTCTCTGTATCAGCTGCCTCAGGAAAATATAAAATAAAATCATAAATAAATAAAAATCAATGACTGGATTGGCCCTAGAGACTGAGTTACTCTCCTCTGTTTTAGAGAGTGGTCCCTCCTGAGCAGTTTTCCACATTGCAGAGCCACTGCATAATGGAACAATTCAGTTCCACTGACAGCCCTGGCTAAAATAGCCCTAGAGCAAGATAGGGTAGGTGTAGGTCACTGCTAAGACACTTGGGAGGGCTGACAGTGAGAACCATGCCAACACTAAGAGTTTTTCAAATTACTTCAGCGAGACCAGACTTAGCTTGCAAGCCTGGTGTGATTGTGTCAGAGAGAAGCCGTTTTGTATTTTGGATTCATGCTAATTGGATATCAGCTTCTCCCTGTGTTCTGCAGCAGCATCTTCCCTGGTAACCATCCATTAATGGTCAGGTACAGGTTGGCTCTGGAATCCATTGACAGAGGAGAGGGCTCAACTCTCCAACTTGTTTCTTTCCTGAGATCTGACAGAGCCTGAATTTAATTTGCTCTGTGATCCTGGCTAAAGTCCCTCTGCACATAAAAATCATGTAGTGCTTTAAACTCTTTAAGCATGGCCCTCATGGGTCTTTAAACTCTTTAAGCATTGCCCAGTAGGTCTTAAGAACAAGAAATACCCATTACACCTGTTTCTTGTTATCTGAATTGGACATGAGGGGAACAGGAGTTGAGTTCAGCAAGCATTGGGATTAAGAACAAGGAGACCACCTTTATGGAAAATAACAGCAAGCAAACACGTTGTGAGCAAGCGGAGAACACAATCAAAGAGGGACCAATTCACAAAAATTATGCTAAATATCACTGGTATTTAGCATTAATCTTTTTGTCTTTGTCTTGCTATGCATCCTCCCAAATCTCACTTCTGGTGAGAATGGACAACCCAGAGGGTTTGACTTATAACCAGTTCAGGTTAATTTTGCAGAATGATCGTGGGTGAGACTAAACCATATAGCTCATGACATAACAACATTATTCATGATAAGAAGCCAAACTGAAGTTCAATTTGTTCCAAAAAGCACCATTTCTAAGGCAGAAGAGCAGCCAAATCAATGACTGAGAGGAACTAGAGGTGAAAATTGAGAAAAAGAGATATAAATACACTTACTTTTAAACATTTTAATTTCAAGTGACAGAAAAACCATTCAATGTGTGTCCTGGGGTTTCTTTAAACAGGGAAAGAAGATTAAAATACTAATCCCTGCTGATTTCCCTGTGCTGCAGCAAAAATGAGCATGGCTCGAAAGACTGACCTGTGATCAAAGATTAAGAGCAGCAAAATTTGTATAGCTTGGCTAAGCAGCAGCCATGAGGGACAATACTGGCAGAGTGCAAAACCAGAGAAAATGGAGTATTACTTGGAAAGACAACAATATCAGGGGATGAAAACTAAAGAAAGATCAGGCAGAATGGTAAAGTCCCTAATTTAAGGAATGAAAGCCAGAACACTCCAAGTATACAAGGACAAGGATGAACTAGACACTGGTGTGAGGATCTTTGGATGCGACCAGTGACTTTAAGCACTTCTATTCCTGAGTTTCCAAAGGAAATCACCTTTAGAAATGGGACAGCTCATACTATAAATCATTTCTTCTTAAGCTCAGCACCCAGCAGCCGCCAATCAGTTCTTAAAATCTTGAGTGAAAAATAAACCACAAGGAACAATCCTGTACTCGGAGGGAATGGACAAGCTAATCTAATACATCTTTGTCATCTGTGGTTTCCATGACAGTTGCATAATCAGACATTTATGTAAGTAGAGGTTTCCTCCTTAAATAGCAGCCTATGATCTCATCTGCACCTACGGTATAACCCATTTGGATGGAAACGATGTGCCAGTCATGTGTACAACTAATTTTTTAATGCTTCTCTCTTATTTTTGTTTCTTTATTGTGGAACATAAGCCTGCAGAGTACTGCTTACAAATGACTAACTCTTCTTGTTGTGGTCTTCTCATGGTCCAGAAATAACTACAGTCCCCAGGTCCAATTAATGGCTGGGCTCACACTTGCTCAGCAATTCAATGTGGAAAGTGATGGTGTACCGACAAATCCCAGTGCAGCACCTAAGCCTTGTAATGGTGTATCCACAAACCCCAGCACAGCCTCCTAGAAACACACAAGGGTTTGGATTAGAAGGGACCTTGAAAACCACCTAGTTCCAAACCCAGGGGTAGGGACACCTTCCACCAGACCAGGTTCTTCAGAGCCACATTCAACCTGGCTTGGAACATTTCCAGGGATGGGACAGCCACACCTCCTCTGGGCAACCTGTGCCAGAGCCCCACCACCCTCACAGGGGAAAATTTCTTTCTGATATCTAAACTAAACCTTCCCTGTGTCAGTTTGAAGTCATTCTCCCTTGTTCTGCCACTCCCGGCCCTTGTCCATAGTCCCTCTCCAGGTCTCTGGCACTGGAAGGGGTTCTAAGGTCTCCCCAGAGCCTTCTCTCTTCCACTCTGAACTCCCCCAGCTCTCCCAGCCTGGCCCCAGAGGTGAGAGGCTCCAGCCCTGATCATGTCTGTGGCCTCCTCTGGATCTGCTTCAGCAGGTCCACATCCTCCTTATGGTGGGGACCCCAGGGACAAAGTATTTTGGGTGGGTGATTCAACAGAGTCACCTTCCTTGACCTGCTGGTGAAGCTTCTTGTGATGCACCCAAGACATGGTTGGCTTTTGGGGCTGCCAGTGCATGTTTAGGGTCATGTCCAGCAGCCCAAGTCCTTCTCACAGCTGCTCCCACAGCAGCTCTCTTCAAGCTGCTCAGACCTAGAGGTTATGGGCTGCCCTCAGACCTTGTTGCAAATTTTCCAGGAAGTTGGGATTTCCAAGCCATACTTTTCCCCAAGGGGCTGGGGGGAGGACCGTAGGAGAACTCCAGGGATTTGTCTTGGACAATCTGGGATTTCTCAGGGTTGGAGGAAAGCTCCCAGGACCACTCTACTCCTGCTGCAGAGACTGCCTGGGGACTCCTCTGAACTCATGCAGAGTATCCTAAAGCAATGCCAAAAATGCAGATCTCTTCTTATATGCCATATTAATTGAAATTAAGAAAAGCAGACCCAGTCTATGAAATCTCACTCCTACTCCCATCTAAGTTCATGTAACAAGAGTGAAGGCAAGCAAAAGTAACTGCACTTAAATCTGCAGGCAGAAATTCTCAAAAACATCTAAAAAAAATCAGCTACCTAGAAGGAGTGACTTTTATCTAAAGGCTGCAGACATCAGCAGGCTAGGGAGCTGATTCCAGTAGGCAAATAGATCTTAATATGGATGTCCAGGGGTATCAGAAACCCTTCAAAATCTGTCCAGAAGCTGAGAAGTGAGTTGATCCTGAAATGTAAGTGGTTCCATTTAGACCATCCTCTTAGTGCTTTTTTGCATTACTCTGCATCAGCCACTGTGCACAAAAATATGCCCCAAAGCAGAGGAAAACAGGCAAGAACAGAATCCTAATCCAATCTGCCAGCCTTCACAGCATCAAATTTGTGACACTCTTTCCAGCCTTTGGATGTTGTAGCACCTTCTCTCAAAGACATAACTATTAAAACAACAAGTATATTATGCACTATTGTTTCCAACATCAAACAATCAGCAAAAATATCTCCTCTTGCTCTTCAGCCTGATCTCGCTTCTCCCACTGAAGGTGATTTAGTGACAAAGATAGAGAGAAATAGAGTGGATTTGGTTTGCGAGTGATTGTCAATTGGATTTTGTGAGCCCAGCGGTATCTCGGAGTGGGTTTCAATTTTCCCTGAACCCCCTGCAGCTCCCATTAGCCTCAATAACTGCTCCTAATTTTGGCTAGGACATTTGCTCAGATTTTTGAAGGAAGGGAGGTGTGAGGGGTGTCTTTCCCTGGTGCAGAGAGACTCCTGCCTCCATGCAGCAAACATGGGCTCGGTAATGGTTTAATTACAGCGAGAATTCCTGCCCTGTCCAGCCAGGCTCTGGCACACGTTACGTAACTGGATTGTTAATGCTTTTTATATGTTGGTGGAACTGAAATTAAATGAGGAAATTATTCTCCTGATGCTCAACTCTAATCCCCATCTGTCTGTGTTTTTACTTTTCTGCACTTGCAAAGCTCCCTGATCAAAAGGTCTTGAATAGATTCCAGATTTCCAATTTAGTTCGCTTATGTAACTGAAAATATTATGGCAGTCTTTCCTTGGGGGCGATTAAGCATATATTTTCAGATCCTCCAATTCTCTCTGTTCCAAATGTGCTAAAAATGGCATAAAGCTTTAGCTCATTCCATACCATTAGCACCACAAACATTTTTTTAAGACTTTTTTAGGAAGATAGGAATAGCCAAGAGCTTTACAGGGAAGGAATATATTCTGAAAAATAAAAAAGGGGGGGACTTGTTAAATGTCCCCTCTGCCTGAGTGAAAGCAAGCCGAGAGTCTGTACTGAGAGAGCTTTGCAGGGCATATAGAGGGAGACAAGGCAGGCGAGGAGGGAGCTACATCTTCAACCAGGGTAGATTCCTGATTCCAAAAATACTCAAGAGCTCTCTAGATCCAGACTTTTAATTTGTCCCATCTAAAGGATAAGCTTCAGGTGGACAACTGAGAGTAGATCTGATCCTTCCTCTAGTACTTTGATCATTCCCACCTGAAAACTGACACCAATTTTTTTTATCCATTTGCTCTTTTTCCCAGTCCTTTCTCTGGTGCTGGAACTACATGATCAGCAGCTGGTTTTATTAGTGGGAATGAGGAGGCTCCTTATTTTGGAAAATGAAACTTTTACCCAAATCACCTGCAAATGAACAAAAAGTGCTGCTGTAACAGTTGTGTTTCATTGCCTCTTTGGTTTCTGAGTGCAGGATGGGAGGCAGCACCCCCAATGCTCACCTGGATCCTGATCACGGCGATGCTGTCACACCAGAGAGAGCAGTGGAGAGAGCACTTGGGACCATTGGTGTTGGGCTCACTGTTCCTAAAGAGATTTTTTTGTTTTGAATACAGAAAATTGAATGAAGAAAAAGTCTTTATTTACCCACAGCTGATGTATGTCTGCTCACATGGAGCAGGCAGCAACACACAGGATGGGGCCACCTCTTCTGACCACTGGTCCTGTGTTTGTGGCAGGTACGGGATGATGGCATCACAATGCAGCTCTGGGCCTAAAATCTGAATGACACTTTTCCAAATTTGGATTAGGGAAGCTGTGATTTAAGACAGTTGCTGAGTCCCAGAAAATACTGTGTTCTGGCTCAGAAAGGCTTGGAGCCTTTCTGCTTTCCAGGATAATTTGATTTGAGAGTCCAAAGAGTGTCACTCTCCCAGGTTTCAGAGAAACTCAGCATACAAACAAAACAGGTGATCCTGGTGGAAACCCTGCTGATCTCAACCTGACTGGTTTTCTTAAATTCAGCAGCAGATCATCTCTGCTGAATATTTTGACAAAGTGCCAAACCCTACCCTGAACATCTCCAGGCTGAGCTTTCCCTCCAGTAGGGTCCAGTTTTAAATACACCAACACACTTGAAGCCTTAGAGCAGAAAGGGTGTTGGAGAGCCCCATCACAGCCAGCCCATCCAGGAAAGGCCTTGGATATACTCAGCAAAGTGCCTTCTGTCAAATCACAAGAGCCATTTATTATCTGAATTTCAGCAACACCCACAGGCTTCAGGCAGGGACCTGCACTGTGCCTGTGTAGCAACATCCAAATATAGAGCAAGGCAACAGCACAGCCACAAAGCTTCACTCATTCCAGAGCATCACCCCCCTCCCTGCCCTGACAAAAGCCCTTCCAGTCCCAAACTGGGGAGGAGCTGCTCTTGCTTTTACCAGAAATAGCTTATTATAAGGTGTTTGGTTTTTTCCAATCTTTTTAGCAGTGTGACAGATCCACCAGTTCCAGAAAGGCAGGAGGATAATCATCTCCCAGAGCTGCTCAGGTTCCTGGTTTGAGGAATATTTAAGCATATGCTCAAATTCCCTTGTCTCTGGTTAAAGCAAAACGTGTGTTTAAGTGCTTTGCTGAGTAGAGGAGGACTTAAGGACATACCTTGCTGTAGGCATGTGCTTAACTATTTTGTAAAATTAAACTGAAGATAATCAAGTGCTTTTGCTGAATCAGGCTCAAGTGCTCTGCAAACCCCCATCCTTTTAAGCAAGGCTGCTTTCAGAAACATTTAATTTGAGAATACACTCAGAAAATATAATTTAAAAATGTTAAAGAGCCAAGAGCTTTAGAGAGTGGAAATAAATAACTAAAAAGATATCTGAGGAAATAATTAGACTGCACAAACCAGGACTGGGCTTTAAAAAAAGAAACTTTGCCTTCTGTCAGTTCAGCATTTGCACATAGATGAGAGATGCTTCAGCTGCAGGGACCTGAATTGTGTTGGATTTTCCCCCCAGTTCATGCCACCAACGCTGATACCGAATCAGGCAGATTCAGTCTCACACATTTGCCCTTCAGCCCAGGCCCAAAGGGGGTTATTTTGGAGAGGGTGGGAGAAAACCTTCTGGCAACAGACACACTGTGGACCAGTCTGTGTGTGTGTCCCTGGGTGCCAAGGATTCCATCCCAGAGAGGTCCCCGATCAAACATTGCTGCTGTCAGACAGAAGCGCCCCATGTATAAATAACCCCACATTCCATTGCTCCCTGACCTTTGTGTCTCAGGCCTGCCAAACCAGTTCTGTGCAAATCCAAACTTAAAACAGTCACACCTCTGTCCCAGACAGGCATCCCTGGGGGTTTTGGGGTTCCATCCCAGCTTGGGTGATGGTGATGTCCCCTACACAGGGAGCCACCTCTTGCCAATGACAACGTGGCACAGCCATCCCCAGATGGCCACAGCTCAATTGGATTTGGCGTCAGCGCCTTTGGGGTGGTTTGCCAGGAGATTTTTCATTGGAAAAGAAGGAGTTTCATGTAAAAGGTTTGATAAAGGGATTTGCACATTCTCAAGTGTCTTAATACAAACCAGCAAAACTTGGGTAGAAATGGAATGGTGGGTAGAAATTTAGAAAGAAATTAAATGTAGCTGTGCTTTGCAAAATTTTACCTGTTTTTAAGTGCACCTTTTGAATGCAAAACTCACTGCAGATAGAATTGATGAAGCTCATAAAACACAGAGATCCTCTCCCCCTCCCCAGACTTCCATCAAGAGGAGATTTCTTGGTTAGACTTAAGACTTGCAAGTCTTAGGCCAGACTGGCCCAAGTCAGTTTGGGCTGATTTGGAGCTTGGATTCATAAACTCAGTGACATGAAACAGGAGGAAACGTGGCTGTTCCTGCCTTGGTCCCAGCCTGAAACTACTGACTGAACCATAGAGTTTTGGACCAAACTCACCCTGAATACACACTCAGGGCATCCCAAATACCAGCCCCACCCCCACCAAATACCTTCCTGAACACACACAGCCTTCTTGTCATTTATGGTTCATGCAGAATTCCTCAATGACTCAAAAATAAAATGTCATTTCTTTAGGAGAGTTGCATTTTATATTAACTCTAGTGGCCCAAATAAACCTCAGGTGTTTGCACATCTGATCTGGGCTTTTTTTCTTGACATAAAGTGTCTATAACCAGGTGCTTTCCTCAGTTTGATTTTGAAATTTTATCAGCAATGAAAAAGAATGACAAAGAATTCTTGCCTGAATGATTTGGTATAAATATTACAAGGGTTTAAAAAAAAATTAGAGTCACCAGTGATAATGCTGAAGCTCACAGTGCCCTGCTGCCCTACTGCTGGAGCGGCATAATCTGTTTTCTACAGGATTTTTTAGCACAGGTGCTTAGGGGAATGCAAATTTTTAGTATTTACTTGATGCCAGCATTCCCAGCATTGGCTATAAAATTGCCAGCAGCACAAGGTTTTGCAGAAGGCAAGTGAGAGGGAGCCCTGTGCTGCCACTTCCCAACATACTCTGCAGTCATGATCCCTTCCTGCTGGGACTGGTTGTCTCTATGAGCAGCAGAGCAAATGCTTGAGTGCATTTTGACATTTCCCACTGCAGGAAAACCCTATTTTGAAGTCTCAGTGGTGTCTCGTGGAAAACCTTTTGAGAAATGTGCTGGATGAAGGCAAACTTGTTTATTTTGGGATAATAGATCCATGTTTCAGTGGCTCTTTCTCTACAGGACATGAGCTTAAACATCAAGTTTAGCTGGTAAATCCACTAGCCATCAGCCCTTCAGCATCCAAATAAATAACAAATGTGCTTGGTAACAACCTTCTGAGTACATGGAGAAGTGAAATTGCCAAAAAATGGCCTTGAGAAATTGATGGAATTATGGATTTGTACCTCCAGACCCAAACTGTCAGGCACACCAGGAGCAGCGTGTGACACAGGGCTGATCCAGGAGAAGGGACGCAGCCAGCTGGGCAACGTGGGTATCTATAAATCCTTCAGGGGGACTGAAGTCAAACTCTCACACTAAAGACTGGGGGAAGAGCATATGCCAGTGTTTTCTCCCTGTCTGCAGTTCTCGAAGGCTTAAGAGCTTTGCTTTGGTTTTAAAATGCTTCTTTCAGCATTGACAATGCCCAGGGATGTTTTTTAATTTAAATAAATAAATAAATAATATATTTTTAAAGTTAGTTCCTTCATGCAAACTATTTAAAATTTTATTTTATGCCATTTTTTAAATTTAATTTTTTCTTTTTAAATGAAATGCTCTAAACGCACCAAACTTTTCAGAGTCTGGTTGCTCACAGACAGTTTTAGTGCTGTTTAGTTTAGTTTTAGTGGGCCTGTTTAAGAAACCAGAGCATTTGGATGAAGCCTGGGTTACTCTCTGTTTATTTGGAGAAGTAGGTTTCAAAACCAGGAATTTTGCAATTCTTTGTCACCATCAGTATTGGGCTGAAGCTGTGCTGTGGTTTTGCTGTACAAGAAGAACCAAATGCATCTGGGTAAACTCCAGAGGGATTTTAAACTCGAAGCCATCTTTGTGGGGCTCTTCCTTATAATTGACAAAACCTTTGATCCTGATAGTACTGAGCTGCAGCTGGATGAGGAACAGCCAGGAGGGCTGAATGGGTTTGTGCTCTGCAATGTCAAA